ACTTTTTACTTTNTAAAAAAAAAAAAAAAGAAGAGAGAACAAGACGCTGAGTAATCAATAAGGCAGGGGCAGTCAGCATCAGTAATATACGCTCGAGTGATATCTTATGATTTCCACAAGGCAGTTATTCAAAACCTTTTCCCAAGGGAAGGAAGAAACACAATTTCCATCTCCGGAAAATCCCGAAAGCACCCCAATCTCAGGAGGAAATTCGTTAGTTATATAAATAATAACTATAACGACGGTATCATAATATTGTACAAAAAAAACCCCCCAAGAACAAAGTAGAACGAGCGAGCAACCGCTTTTTTTTTTTTTTTTTTACTTAAAAAAAAAAAAAACTCCATCGAAATCTGTGAAGCCACCCTCTCCCCCCCCCCCTCCCTCCTCCTTGCTCCTATCTCCCAACTCACACCAGGACGGCGGTCGCCCGGCAAGGAAACTAATTAGGGGGAAGGTCCCAGTTCGGGCTCCCACAGGTGGAGGAAGAACGGATGGGTATGCTCGAGCATCGGTTTCCGTGGCTGGATTGGGCTGGTGAAGGGCGTGTGCTGACGGCCTGGGGGGGTTGGACTGTTGGAAGGAAGAGAACAATTGCGGTGTTGCAGGTTTGCGAGTGGGGGATTCTCGGGTGACTTGATGTGATGGGTGCGGTAGGGATCTGAATCAATGGAGGGACGAACGAACGAACGTTAATCTACTCTGTATTATTCTCTATCTGACTGTTCATTGCTGGCGAATAACGAAAAGAGATTGTGATAATACAGTAAAAGCCTTTTATGAAACAGAATCCAGGGTATATTATTACTACTACGAGCACCCAATAAAAGAAAGAAAAAAAAAAGAAAAACGCCCTCTAGAGCCAGCTTCGTCTACCTGCCAACAACGCCCCCAACATCCGGATCCTCCCTGAGCGCAGCTTTAACCTCCTCCTCGCCAATCAAAAATCTAACTCTCCCCCCACCCCCACCTCGCTTCTCCACACCGAGAACCCCAGATTCGACCAATCCCTTAACCGCAGCCTCTATTCCACCAACTCTTGGTCCGCCGCCTAGTTCTTCCTCCGCAACGCCCTGAATCCGAACTATCCTTTCCGCCTCATCGAGGACATCGCGGAGAATACCTTCGCCGACCCCCGAACGACGGTTACGGAGTAGAAGGGCCGTGATGAATATCTTGGAAGAAAGGCAAGTGGTCTTCAGGAACATTTGTAAAGGGGAAGAAGTAGCTTCTTGGATTGCCTGTTTGACAACGGCAATGGTCACCCTCCCGCCGGCTCTGAGGCCGCCGCCACGTGATGGGGAGGAGACGCCCCCGCTCTTCCGCCTGGACGGGGAAGGGGGCGCTTGCTCATCCCCCTCTTCTTTGGAGGAGTATTCGACAATCTCGACCGCGCGCCTGCATATATCCAAGGCTCTTCTGGCGTCGCCGGACACAGCGGCCACCTTTCTACTAGCGAATTGAACGGCGTCCGGGTCCACAATGTTACCGGGCACACCGTCCAGGCGGGATTGGATGATTGTCATTAGTTGCGAGTGGGTGTAGCCGGGAAATGTGATTCGGGTAAGACCTGTTGAACAACTTAGCTGGATCTCTCAATAGTTGAGGGTGTTTGGGCGCCAACCTAATCGTGATGAGATCTTATTGCTCAAGGTTCTCTCGGGCAAGTCCATGGTATTCGCAACAGCCAAAACGATAAGCCTAGAATACCGTCCCCCGGGCCAATTGAAGAAATTGTACATGACTCCTTGGCCCCGCGTAACCAATTGGTCAAGTTCGTCCATCAAGACGACACAAGGAACCCTCCGGGGACTGGGGGTGCTGAACTCCGACTCCAACAATCCCAAGGCTTGCGAGGGGCTTACACGGTCACCCTTAACCGCCTCCCAAAGAAGGGAATAAGCCTGGTGGGGATCCGTGACCTTCATTCCATTGATCTCAACAAAGGTAAAGTCGTCCAATTCCTCCAAGGCCACCAGGTACTGCAGCTGTGAGATAACCTCACGAACCGTAGCGGTTTTTCCAGTCCCAGGAGTTCCGGAGATGTAAATGCACGATCCGGTCCCCTCCGCAATGGCAGCGGAGAGGTGAGTGTACACCTCCGTAAACTCAGCCTCGCGACAAGGCAAAGAGGGTGGAAGGGTAGATACGTGCAACCGGTGGCGTGCGAGTGCGTAAGGGGTGGACAAGTGGGTGCCCGGAGACAGTGTACGAGTCGAAAGAGGAGTAAAGAGCAGCGGTTTCTTCACCACTATTCTGGAGAGGTGTTAGCAGTCACCCAGGCGAATCGACGGATTGTCTAACCTCTTGTGTGTAGGAGTAGTGTACTTCTTCGAGGCGCTTCCGGGGGTCCGTCTGGTCGGAGTGGTGAGAGTAGATGCCCTCTTTTTCTTGCTTGGAGTGCGGGGAGCTTTAGTCCGTCGGCTGAAGTTGGGATCATCCTCCACCACATCGTCCAGCTCCGCAATTTCACTCTCGTCCAAGGTATCCCGATCCCATTCCTGATCCGCCTCGCCGTCCCCATCACCCTCTCTGCGCCTCTTGGGCCTCCGTGCGCCCTGGCCAACAGCCTTGTTTTCCCTCCGCTTAACCGCCTTGGTCCCATTGTACACCATCTCCCCAACAGAGGCGATATCGGTGTCCCTCCCCTTCCAAAACTCCTCCCAGACAAACTCGGGGGTATAAGTGGCAGTCCTAGGATTGCATCCCCGTCGGCAAATGAAAACCTTCCCATAATCCTTGGATCTCTTCTGCACGCCGTTGGGATACTCTTCCTTGTACCTCTGAGGGGAAAGAATCTTTGCTCGGCCGTTTATCGACGGCAGGGGAATAAGATTATAGGAGGGGTTGAGGTAAAGCTCATTCTATCGCCAAAGTCAGCGCGCAAAAGCATGTAAGCAGAGGAGAGAAACGAACCGGCAAATAATCCGTCCTCTTCTTCTCCTTATTCTTGACCTCAAACTCGGTGGAAAACCACATGACATTCGCCATCATGCCAACCTCGTCCCCATCCTCAATCCTCCCCTCCTCGTCAAACTCACATATCATGCCGACATAGGCCTCGCCCTGCAGCCCTTCCCCCTTGATGAGCACGCAGTCCCCAATGCCGACATTGAACTGCCCCATCCTGGCGCCAATCCTGGTGCGTCCCTGGTCGGGGGTGGCTCCCGATTCCCCAGAGTGGATCCATTCCCACGGGAGGTCCTCGTCGCCGAGTTCATCGTCGGAATCCTCGCGTTGGACGCCGTGAAGGATCTTGCGCACGCGATCGATGTTGGCCTGCTTCTTCCTTGTCGGCGGGGGGTTGACGGAGGGCGCCATGGGGGGCGGCTTGGGAACGAGTGAGAAGGTTGGGCAAGAGGGAGGAGGATAGCAAGCGGTGACAAAGGGGAAGACGCGCGTGGAAACTGTAGCTAGACTATCTCGCGTTGGGCGGCTCCAATGTGCCAAGTATCACGTGAAAAGGGAGCACGAAGACTGTGGAGACGAGTGGCAACTGTACTCGTATGTGTATGATAGTCGTACTGGACGGCCGTTTCCTGTCGCCGAGTGGTTACCCTATTCCAAACACGGGAGCCTCTCTGCCCTCCCCCGACCAGAGCGTGGTAGTTAGCTTTCAAAATAAAATACTTTTAAGACCAGAAGCGAGCACTGGGCGAGAAGGGCAAACACGAGTCGACACCCACGAGTACTGTACGTACGTACTCCAATAACACATTTCACTCGTGGCATCATGTGTATTGTATTATCCTACTCGAGAGCTGTCTGCAGTGTCATGATTACGCGTGCCCCAAGTCCACTCAACATCTCTCTCTTATGGGATACCCTTATGAATTCTCGCGCTCGAGTACCCTAAACTCACGAGGAGGACTGGAAAAAATAAAAATAATAAAATAAAATAAAAAAGAGAAGAAAAAAGAATAAAAAAATAAAAAAATAAAAAAATAAAAAAATAAAATAAAATGTGTAAACAAGATGGTCAATTTTCCCTGTCCAGCATCACACATCACAGCGACATTCCGCGAAATCCTCCCTTCCAACCCGAATAGATCCCTAGTCCAGATACTTGTCGATCCCCCCGCTCTCCTCCTCCAGGTTCCTCCTCTCGGCCTCCGCCTCCGCCCTCTTTCTCGCCTCCCTCTGCCTCCTCCTGGCTTTGCTCCCCCACTCGTCCCCCTTGGGCTTGTCCTTATCCACCGTGACCTCCTCCACCGGCGCGCCCGATTCGTCCGCTTTGCCCTCCTCCCCCTCCTCGAGCCGCTGCATGTGCACTCTGCGGACGTACATTAGGACGGCGCGGCGGATGACCAGGTAGCCGCAGATGCAGACGACGAGCCGGATGGTTGCCAGGACGCTGTATTCGCGGCCGAGCACGGTGAATGCGGCGGTGTTGGGCCAGATGCCGGCCTTCTTCAGGGCCTGGCGCAGTTCTTCCATTGCGGTGTGATTGATGAAAATGAGAGAGAAGAGATGGATCAGGAAGGGTTTGTCGGAAGGGATGGGGAGGAGGGACGAGGGACGGAAGGTCGAGGTGTGTGAGAGGTATGACGCCAGTATTTCTAGCCAGATTTCCCAAGTCCGCGCGTGGTAATCATGACGGCGCGAATGGGGTGGACTACTTGTAACTCGATGCTCCATCATTAGACTAAATTACTGTCCCCATCTATCTGTCTACAGTAGACTACTAGTACTGTACAGGACCATACTAAAGCGGCTAATTGGAGTATTCTACCGCATCAATGCTAAGAGAAAGAGGAAAGAAGGAAAGAAAGAAAAAAACACAACTCTAGTCCCAGCGACCCGAGCACCGTACAAGCCACTTTGAGGCCTTCCACAAGTACTCGAGTACTTGTACTGTACTCGAGTACAACACGCTGCCCGTGCCAAATGTCGCCCCATCTCAGCTTCTCAAAGCGAATGCGGCTCCCAATCCAATCGCCACTCCTATCCCGGCCAATATGGTCAACACCAGCCCCCCGATACATTTTCCGTCCGAAATCTCGCCAAATTCCACATCCAACCTCTCGGCCATCTTCTCCCTTGAGAACAGCTCGAGCACCCTCTCCCTTCCACGTGCGGCCATCTCCGCGGCCACCTTCCCCTCCAACTCGAAAAGTGCCGTTCGCATCACCGCAGCCCATTGCTCGTCTTCCGCCGGCCTTAGCCAACCCGTCCTTCCCTCCTCAATCGTTTCCAAGGGGCCGCCAGAATTGTGCGCTAGGACGGGAACGCCGGCAATCATGGCCTCCAGCGGAACGATGCCGAAGTGCTCCCGAGCAGGCGTGTACACGAGGAGCGAGGCCGTCTTGAGCAGATAGGATTTGAGCGTCGCCGGGATGGAAAGCAAGAACAGCACATCCGTGTCCTCCGGCACCGATAAGCTGGAAATGAAATTGCGCGAGGTTGCGGATTCGAGGCCTAGCCTCTCGCAGAGCATGGCCAGGTCGTTGTGGTAGGTGACGTTCTCCGAGACTCTGGCGTCGTAGCCTCCGGCGATGACCAAGCGGGATCGACATCTCTGTTCCCGGGTGAGCAGGGAATAGGAGGTTATCGCTAGCTCTATATTCTTCTTGCGTTCGAATCTGTTGATTGAGAGTATTACCCTCCTCCCATCATTCTGTAAGGGTGGATCGTTGTCGATGGCTATCGAGGGCGAGGCGACTGTAGTGGTAACGCACGGATACACCACCTTTAGAACAAGTCCGATTCTCGGGAACGCCGTGGCAAAGACGGATCTCGTAAAATCCGAGTTGACGACAATGGTGTCGGCCAATCCCGTAGTGAAGCCCTCAAACCAATCGAAGGGGACACGGTAAAGGCTCTTGATCAAGGAATTCCTCGCGGCGAGCAGGTAGTCGGGGAAATGGCAGTAGAAGAGAATCCTTTTCGCCGGGGAGAAAAAGCGAAGCAAAGGGATGGCGGCTGAGAGCTGGTCTATGAAGATGTAGTCGTGCTTTGATATCTCATCCGTAAGGAGCAAGGTCAGCGTGAGGTGGACCTGTCGCAATATGGCGCAGAGAATACTGAAGCGTCCCAAAAGGTTTGGAGGAATGATTGTATTTCCCGCGACACGAACGTCGAGTGTCCCTGGGTCACGATTAGCTCGTACAAACGGGAAAAGCCATTTCAGAGAGTATACCATCCCTCGCCTCATCAAAGCAGTGTCTTCTGTCACAGTGAGAGGTGTAAATCGTTACGATGTGACCCCTTTGCTGGAGTCCCACGGCGGCATCGACGACGAGCCTCTCCGCCCCTCCGATTCCCAGGTCCGGGTGAATGAAAAGGATGCGCTTTTTCGACATTTGGTGCCGTCGTCGTTCCTCAGTCGCCATAAGATTACGGGCTGGGAAGCAATTGAAGGGAGCAAGCGCTGACACCCTTTGACTTCATCCACGGTTGCACAACATGTCAATGGCAGCACAAAAGACTACCCACCCAACTGCCGATACTGTACTTGTATCACTGCACGAGTACTGTACAGTACTGTACCCGTACCCGTAAAGTATCTTTAAGCTATATAATACTTGTATAATAGCTACGGGCACAGTACGAGTACAGCCACGGGCAGCCCATACCCCCCACCCCAAGCTCAAGAGATGGGTGAACCCTCCCCCTCCTCCTCATCGAAACCAAGGACTCCGCCGGCACGTCATCAGTCCATAATCTCTGCTGAGGGGGAAGATCCCAGCTCGCCAGTCTCCCTTCTCATCAGATTCTCCATCTCGCTCCCCGATCTGCCCATCTACGTGCCGGCCTCTGCCAATACCTTAGTCTCAACTTTAAAGTCGCACGTCCGCTCCTTGCTTCCACCCGACCAGTCCAGACGCAGACTGCGACTGATTCACGCGGGAAAAGTCCTCTCCGACTCGGCCACCCTCGCCTCGCAATTACAGATCCCCCCCGCCCCACCCCCGAGAGATGTGGATAAGAAGGGGAAAGGGAAGGAGGTTGAAGTCGGAGATGCGCATAGAGCCGTGTACATACACTGCAGTGTCGGCGACGAACTCTCCGAGGAAGATTTAGCAAAGGAAGCGAACCAACAAGAGGTTGTAACCCATATGTCTATCTATCCTCCCTTACCTCTATTTCTTTCTTTTTTTTTTGCCCTCACTAACAAATATTACTACAATTGCGATACAGCTCCCAAACCACCCGAATCGCCAGCAAGTCTCCACCCTGCCTCAACCCCGCGGCTTTGATCGCCTCCTCTCTGCCGGCTTCTCGGAATCCGATGTGGCGGCCCTGCGCTCCCAGTTCAACCGGCTCCACGGCGACGACGAGGAGAATGTGCGCATGCTGGAGGACCGCTGGATCGACGAATCCGCTGGGCAGGGCGGTGAGCTGGCGGACGGTAGTCCCGCCGGCAGCTATGAGGATGTATTCCTGGGAACCACCATCGGCTTCTTCTGGCCCGTGGCCGTCTTCCTGATGAGGGAGGAGGATGTCTTTTCCAAGCGCATGCAGATGTCCATCATCGCAGGAGTTTTAGTCAATTTGACGTTTTGCCTTTTGCGCTACTCCTCAACCTAGGCACATTGTCTGCCTTGTGCGAATACTTGTAAAAAAAAAACAAATTTTTGAATGATGGTTTATACTGCTGTTATCACGGCATGTCTGTCTGTGTCTGTCTGTCAAAAGAGAGAGAAAGAAAGAAAAAAAAACTATTACACCTGTACTGTTATCATACATGCCATGACACAATACCTCCTACTCCGCAATTCGAAGAAAAGAAAAAGAAAAAAAAAACACCACCCCATTCCTCACTAAAGGTAGCTAGCTAGCCACCTTCACGAGACACAACACCCCCCCCCCCCCCACCACACAAACACAGAACGCACAACACCAAATCCAAATCCAAACAAAGCCCAGCCTCTCAAACCCTCCTCGACCAATCCCACAACCCGCAGATCCCCCCACCGATCGACCGGCCGTTAACCCGCTCGCTATATCATAGTCCAGTCTACCCCACAGCGCCGTACGCACCACACGCACGCAAGAGAGATAGTCTACAAGATGGTCCCACACATCGCACTGTACATTACTGTGCTAATATAACTTTTTCGTTTCGTCCGGAATGGGTTGGGCTAGGTTAGGTTGAGTGGTTTCGCGATAAGGGCGCGGGGTGTACTGTACTGTACTATACTGTGCTGTGCTGTACTTGAGTGTCGCTGATTGATTGATTGATTGACTTTTGTCTGTGGTGTGATACTGTACTTACTAGGGACACGGACTGGGCTGGTATCATAGGTGTGGGCTTGCGTTCTGGGAAATGGTGAGGGGGGGGCGCTACCGAACGTCCACTGGGGAGTACCATGCGCTCTGTCGGGGTTGTTCTACTGCGCTGCGCTGGGGGGGGTGGTACTGTGCGTACCGGCGGCCATGTCGTGGTTTACTATACTTGCGCTGCCATGTTCTCAGATCACAAGACAATCTACAATTCCTCCACCGAGTGATCACCAGTGATAGTGCAAAAAAAAAAATAAAGAAAAAAATAAAGCTCTAATATTCTAATTGACATTACAAGTAACCTGCTCAATAACAATTCCCCCGCTCCGCGCCCCCGACTTTATCCCGGCGAATATCACCCACGATAACCCCCAACAGCCAAACATTCACCCCGAAAAACACCAACGACGCAGCCCACAAGCCCGGAACGAACGTCGCCTTCCCAAGAAACTCCAATTCGTAGCCTTGTTGCAGCCACATCGCCTGTAAATCCGACCCATTAGCAACCACAAACGCCCGACACTTCAGGGAGGGGGGGAGGCAGCACCTGCGAAATAGCCCACAGCACCAACGCAATCCCACCCAGCCATGGCCTCCGTAGCAGCACGGAGCCGGGAAGGTAGAACGGCAGCAGGACGATATACCACATAAAGTACTGCGACGTGCACACCTTGTTGAACGTGACAAAGGCGAACGTCTGCGCGAACATGGTTGCTGGGAGATTGTGCTTGGCAAAGGCCAGCGGGATGGCGAGTCCCGAGAGGAGCAGTTGCGGAAGGAATGGTATCGAGGCGAACGGGGCAGAGGAGTGGCCCGTGGGCGAGGAGGTTAGGTGGAGGAGCGTGTTGTACGGGGAAAAGTTGTGTCGGTGGTCGACGCGCGAGAGATGGTGGAGGTAGGTGTGCTGGAGGAAGGGATTGGCATAGCTGTATGTAGGTTTGGTTAGCTACTCGCTCGGGTGGTGTATGGAGGGTGTGAGGAACAGACAGTTTATACATCCAAACATTCAAGCCGACAAATGTTCCCAACGCCCAAGCGCCAAAAGTGACCCTTTCGCGATTGACAAAGCCCACCGCCTTCTCCAGCCACCCCTTCCTAGCCCCCTCCCCCTCCCCACCCCTCCCCCGCTCACTTTCCAACCACCAAACAATAGCAGGCGCATATATGACAGGATATATCTTGAAATGCGTCGCCAACCCCACCAAGACCCCGGCCAACAGCACACGTCTCCTCAAAACCGCCCATACAATGCCCACCACCAGCACTCCCAGTAACCCCTCAGAACTACCGCGGGTGCTAATAGTCGCAACCATGGGATTGACCAGCCATATGCCGGCGAACCACCCGGCTCTCCGGCAGTCCATTCCCCCGTTCGTCAAGACCAGGTGTATTAGCCATCCGGCGAGCACATCTGCAGCGGCAAAGACGACCTTGCCGAACGAGAAAAAGAGGGCCTGTGGGTTTAACGTTGTTGGGAGGAGAAGCCAGGCCAGGAGCGGAGTGTATCGATAGGTTTCCCGGGAATAAGGGGTCGGGTTCGAGGCGTCGCCGGAGCCGGTGAGGAGGAAGCGGGAAGCGTCGGTGAAGACATAGTAGTCTATGTCTGTGTATTTCAGGGGAGAGGTGGAGTCTTGATATAGACCGTAGAGCAAAAGACCTATTCTGAGGAGAACGGAAGCTCCAAGGAGGGTCCGTAGAGACATCTTACACCGCACCGTGGGTGGTTGCTCAAATATCGAGGTAGAGTGGGTCCAGTAGAGCTTGCTTTGTGGCCCCTGAATATGGAGCCGCATCTTAGTCATCAGACATATATTATCACTCGCCGGCACTTACCCGATGCCTGATGCACCCATCAAACACTCAGAGCCGGCGTAGTTCTAGGATGAGATTGAGCGGAATGCAGCCTATAAACCATCCTATATTTTCGGTGCCATATTACAGACATAATTTGAGAGCTACAGATTAACGGCCAAAGACTTGGAAGCTTGAAAGAAAGAAATAAAGAAGAGGGGGGGCGGGGGGGGGCGGGGGGGGGCAAAAGAATGCCAAACTATCCGACCAGCTGTGCGGGTCACAAGAAGGAAAAAAACGAAGATCGATACAAAGTTCTAGCTCCCCTCCCCCTCACACAGACAATAAGGAAAAGAGAAAAAAAAGCCCAAAACAAACTAATCCTGATCCTGCGCATACGAGTGCTTTCTCATTTCTCCTAGCCTCTGGCGTGCTTGTTGCAATTGGGTTTCTAGTTGGAGGATCTCGACCTTTGGGAAATAAGTATTCATGCATACAAGAGAAAAAAGAAAGTGAGAGGAGGGGTTACCTGTTGCTCCATTTCCTGGACTTTGAACTCATGTGAGGTTAGTTTGGAGTAGTCAACATCCTCATTCTCTTCGCGATTTTTAGCAGAGATGATGTCCTGAACTTGTCGGACGAGGGATTTGCACGCGCTTGTGACAGCCTTCGACGCGGCCTCGAGACGCTCTTGTGACTTGGACATGAATGACGCCTTGACACGCGAGGCAGCAACAAGCTGTGCGGTGGATGCCGCAACATCGTTGGCAACGACGATCCTACCATTGTTAGTACAAATCAGGCTTGAGGATGTCGAACGGAAGCTTACAGCTGTTCAAGCTTTTTATGACCACTTATAACACCGTCGGCGGTCTCAATCAACATGTTCGTGGACATGGCGACAGCCTTGGCCGCCGAGATCAGCCCCTCTGTCCAGCGGTTGTTACGCTTGTAAAATGCAGTACGGGAACTGCTGCCTTTCCCTTGTGCCACAATCTCTTGCTGCGAGACCGTGGCGGCCTTGATCAATTGAGCGATAGCATTGGTGACCGCGATAGCGGCGTCTAAAATTGAATCGTGAATACGCATTTCAAAGGTTGAATAGCCCGGGCTCTTGGTCTTCTTCATAAGCTGCGCTAGACGAGCTGTAGCAGCCTCGATTGCCGCAGCCGCCTTACTCATCTCAGCATCGACAACATCTCCAAGATCCCCACTCGCCTTTGATAGATCGGAACCACCCTTGGCCAGAAATTGTTCGGCAAGCTTGTTCAATTTCTGCAAATGTTTCTGGACCTCAAGATTGCTTGAAACGACAATATCGGTTTTGCGATCGACACTCAAATCATCTAATCGGAAAGACATGAGGTTCTGGAAGAATTTCACAGCGGTTCCCGCAGACTGTCGTGCGGATGACAGGATGGCTTCGCTTCTCTTCTCATCTGGAGCAAAGCGCGTAACACCCTTGGCATTCGCAAGCACATCCGCGATGGCACCTGCAAACACATGAAGCGTCTTGATGATCTGGGACTGTGTGCTATTGGGCCCATCCGCGATAAAGTGGTTGAACGAGGTGGCAAACTCGGTAGCGCTCATCTGGGCCTTCTCAATCTGCGAAAGTAAATATCCGGGCGATGCATTCTGATTACCGGCATTCATGGGAGATTCTAGCTCATAGAGGGCATCATCGATACGCTGAACACCACTCTGAAGCACAGAGTCTGAGATGTGATGTTAGCAAGGCAAAAGAATGTCCAACGGAGGCCTTACCAATAATCTCTGTCAGTTTCTTGAGCTGGTCGAGGAGCAGCTCATCAATCTGAGCCTCAAGTACGTGATCGGTTTCAGTGTTGTTGTGTCGCATCTCGCTGAGTTCCAACAGAGTCTGGTCCATGCCGGCCTTGAATATCTCAAGCTCCTCCTCCTTGGCCCTGAGCAATTGCTCCATATCACTACGCTTGTCATCGTTCCGAGAGGTGAGCTCATCAATCATGCGCTGCTTCCCACGCAGTACATCCTCCAAGTCCGCCATTTCACGGTTATGCCGTGTCAAGAGGGAAGAGAGCTCGGACCCCTTAGATCTTTCATTATTGTCCGCCCTTTCTTGCGCGAATCGGAGTTCCCGCTTCACCTTTTCCACCTCCTCTTTCTGAGCCTACAATACGTTAGCAAAAAGGTCGAGCGGGGCATTTCGTGGAAGCATATACCCCCTTGACTCGGTCCAAATCGTACAAAGCGCGATCTCTCTCGCGAATCATGTCAGCCAGCTCTAAATTCTTGGACTTCATTTCGCGCTCCAACTTTTCCCGCCTCTCAATAGCCTCTTGTGCAGAATTAGCCTTGAGTTGCATCTGTTTATACTTGCCCAATAGCTCAAGATGCTCATGTCGGAGCTGCGAGTACAATTTGGCCAAAGCCTCGTACTTGCTTTTCCACATAGCGACCTGGTCTTGCAGCGACTTGATGAGATCGTCTTTAGACTGCTGCTGCTGCTGAGAGTTCAGATTGAGGTTCATCAACTCTGTCTCGAGAGCTTTCACTTTCTGGTCATACGACTCCAGTAGTAATACATTGTTAGCCAATTGGCCCTGGTATTCCAACAATTGGCGCTCCAATTCAGCAGCCTGACCCTGTGCTTGCCGCGCCATCTGATCCCTAAGCAGCTGCTCGTGCGCTAGTCTCTGTTGCTCTTGTTGCTGCCTCTGCATTTCTTCGTAGGCCCTCTGGTTTTGCATTGCAATCATTTCCTGCTGCCGCATCTCCGCCTCCCTCTGCTCCTGCAGCCGGCGTTGCTCCTCTTCATATGCCCGCTGTTGTTGCAGTTGCTCTTGAGACCAAAAGTCGGAAATTGGCTCGGGCTCGGGCTGGGAAATTGCGGGTGGGCTGGGGACAGGTTCGGGAGGTGGAGGGATCTCGTTTGTTGGTCGGCGAGGGAGCGCCGGGGGCGCATCTTCCTCGCTGAGTAGATTGGGGGGGTCCTGGGGAAGCTTTGGGACGGTGATTAAGCTCGTCAAATAGCGAAGATTCGAGCACTCGAAGTAAAAGCGCACAAGACGGTGGTGTTGCCCATCGTAGCGGTCACGTAGGGGAGCAAGCGCTTCATCGTCGCCGGTACCTATCAACTTGTGAGATAGACATCCAACCTTGTGGGCCCACCAAAACTCACTCTGATGCATCGCCCTCAACATGCTGGTGATGAACTTGTAGATCCCATAGCTCTCCTGGACGAGAGGCACAAGGCAGGAGATACGGCACTCGTTGTTGACACCATGGCGGAAGTGGGAGAAGACGAGCTTTTGGAAAGTATCGATCTGGTCCTGCAATGTCATGAGATCGGTGATAGTCTCGTACCCCTCGTTCGGATCGTTAATGCTTTTTAAGCTAATATATTCCTCATAGTCAAACACCCCATTGAATTCCGGGTGATGCCTATGGAAGGCCAGTTTTGCCAACAAGAAATAAATATATTCCCGAATCAAAGGGCCGTATCCTAATTCCATCAGCAAAGCCTAACTTAATACATGAGCCTACCGGAGCGCGTACCCCGTAGCCCCTCCCCGGCCACCCCTCGGGTCAAAGACTCCAGCCAGCCAGTATGTGCATGAGCCTCACGAATCGTCACAGGGTGACCTTCCTGGAGAACTTTGTGGATACTTATCAACGCCTTGAACGTCTGGACCTCATCCGCCATGATGGGCTGCCTGGAACAGAATCTCATTCAGTGTGCGCACAGGCCAAGCAGCCCGAGAAGGTCGGGGCACGACTGCGGGGGTTATTGGTTAACTTACACTTTCATGCCAGCCCAGAAAGATTGCGACGATTTGTGATCCCATGTGTAAACAATGCAAGAGCGGACATGTTTTCCTAAAAACCCCGTTTAGCTCGTCAAATCCCTCCCCGAAGAAGCCATAAGCTCGAGGGCTATAGTCTATTGTTTGAAATACCCACGTTTGGGAGCAGTTTCCTCTAATGGTTACCCCACACTGTCAGCGCAACTTCGAATCAGGGCGAGGGATGAGTGGAGGGGATTGATTCGTCTCCAATTATTCATAGCGGGCAGATGGGGATAGTGAACCTATGTTGGTAGCTTTCTTAATGTTTATCACAAGGTCAGATTCGGATCTAGGCTCAGTGTCAGCTCAAATGCTCCCCCTCCTCCGGGACTGGGAATCACAAAAGTAGATAGGACGCATACCTGCTCATATCCACGTTCCGCGTAGACCCAGTGTAAGCCATGATAGCAGGAGGGATACTGATCTTCGGTATTTCAAAGCTTTGGGATCCAGAGAGGAAAGGTTAGAAGAAGGGAGAAGGATGATGGGTAAGGTAGACTGGATTCTGGCAGCAACAGAAGGAAGCGAGCTTTGGTGGAGCATAGTAATTCGCCAAGCCAGTAAGTTAGAGGGAAACAAGCGGGCCACGCAAGGCCAATTGAAGTCTTGGCTTAGTGCGGGTCAACCAGCAACAGCAGCTCCTCTGCTCCAGGCCAGCACGGTTTACCGGTACATACCGTAATGCACTCTTTGTCGAGAGCTGAAAGGGTTCCTTGCTTTTCCACAACAACCCATTATCATTTCATGAAGCTTTTCTAAGGGTTCTTTCGGGGTTTTCTCTAATTTCTCTTCTTTTTCTTGAGTTCTTTTCCCCCTTTAGTTCCCCCTTTCCATTCACTCTCTTTACAAGGCTTACAAAAAATACCATTGCTAGCCCTCGAGAGTTATATTATATCACCTTTACAGACCGGCCGAATATCCTCCTCTTCTGCACTTGCGGTCAGCATATCGGCCGCACACCTTTCTCGCTGGCTCCAGCGTCCGAGCGAGAGGATTCTCGCGCAAACCTACACCACCCCCGAGTGGCTTCGGTGCTCGGAGTAGCGCGCTGCTACCATGTCCCACTGATAATCTGTCGGGGCCTCTCAGTCTGGCCGAGTCTGATCGGATTGTCCAGATGCGCTGTTGCTTTCGTCGCGACGGAGGGCTTAGGATGCACGCAGGTGGAGCTGATTCTGGCAGTGATATGGGTACGCGCGTTAAGCGGTCCATCTCCCGGGATTATTTTGCAAGCTTATGATGATGATGATGGTGGGGGTGGGAATGGCAGTGCTTTTCCTCGGCGTATCTCTCGTATCTGTTCATAAATAATCTGATGGCGCGGTGGTTCGCTCCCCCGGTGCCCTTGGTACTTGCTGCTTGAGCTGATTATGGTTATGGTTAGGCTCATATATTACACTCCTCCGGGTATGATACCCCCAGCGTGCACCCGAAGGAACGAGCGAGTGAATGAGTGACCGGAGAAGCTGGGGCTGACGATCACGTACCAGCAACCATGGTCCGTCTGTTCTCCATCAGTGGTATAAACGCCTACCTCACGTCGTGGGCTTTGACCATCGTTGGAGCTGGAAAGCCACGAATGCTTCTGCCGGCATGGATCCTAATTGCCCTCGTGAGCTTCCCTCTCGTTCCCATTCATTCCTGCACACGATTGATTTGTCATACCCTATTTACCCGATTTATGAGGAAAAGGTGCTCGCGGCCATACATCGGATGACTGTTCGGAGGATCAATCTTTCTCAGGAAGTGGCCTCGGCCACGAGTGTGCTGTGCCTTGCCGGCGTTTGCAGTACCGTCGCGCTGCTGCTGGAGTTGCACATCTGCCCACTCACTCACTAGACCAGACCAGACCGGGCACAATCAATCTCGTCTGTGCTCTAGGAAACACACTTTGGTGACCCTCATGAGAGTAGATGTTGTTACGCCCTATTGTGCCGCTTCCTCACTTCACACCTTACCTTACCGCTACCTCACTCACCCCCCACCTTTTATTTCTTGCTTATTGTCTGTCCTCTTGCCCCTTTGTCGGGGGGTTTCCAGACGGGTGCCGTATGGAATCCGCCATAACCGTTGATCAAGTTATGTACTGTAAACGCCGCCGTCACAAAAACAAAACACATTCAGCAGAGAGCTTCCAAGTTTCTCGGTATGATACCGCATTATTGTACATCCTAGACTGAACATTGGGCATAATTTACCGCGGAAATGAAGGTGTATCGTCTTGAATGTCGGACGCCCCCCCCCCCCCCCTGCCCATTGACTTGACCCCTTGCTTCGGAAAACCGTCCCACCGATCATTAGACTACGGTAACTTGAGCATGATACCCCTTCCCTTCCCGAGCCATACCCGTTTCTACTGTACCGTGCTCGTACCATGTACTCGAGTTATGCTACCTCACACCCTACCGACCCACTGACCCATTGCGGCTCGGCATCCATCCCTCCATCCGCTCACCACTATCATACTACCAAACCAACCCCACCAAGATTTCCCCACCATCCCCAAAGCAACAACGAAACAGCAATGTTCCGCTTCCTGATACGAGCACCACTGCTACAACACCACACGCCGCGCCGTCCACCATTCAATGCCGGTATCGGCGTCAGGTACAAGTCGATAGGCAAGGGCTTGAAATTTGCGCCCCCGCCGGCAAAGCCGCAACAGAGCGTTCGTGTGGCAGCGCAGGTGGGACAGGAAGGGGCGGATATTGGCCTTTTCCCCGGTATTTCCCTCTTCCTACTCCCCTCCTTTTTTTTTTTTTACGCAATTCATTCCCCACGAGGGAGGACTGATCGGGACGAAACAGACACCTTCATAATGCCCACGGGCAAAAACCTCCCCTCGCTCTTCACCTTCCCGAGGGAGCGTCTCTATCTAGAACGTAGAAGAATCAAGCAAAGATTAATAGATCTCCGAGAGTACCTACCTACCTACCCCCCCACTTTCCCCAACACTAACCCCCACCCCCTTCCCAGTAAGCTTGTGTTCCGCTTCACAACAAAGCACCCCCTCCGCTCCTCCCAAACCCGGAAATTCGGCGAAGCCCTGCACAAGAACATGTACACCGCCTTCGCCATCGGCGACATAGACGCTCTACGTCCCATTTGCGGCGACGGTCTGCTCTTCTCCTTCCGCCAGCGACTGAGCGTCCGTCCCTCGAACGTGCGCATGGAGTGGCGTCTACACCGTATGCTCTCGCGCCCGCGCGTGGTCAGCTCCAAGGCTCACCATTACGCCGTCGTCGAGATGGCTCGGCGGCAGGTGGTCGTGCGATTGCACTCCATGCAGAGTCTGGCAAAGATCACGCTAGGCAAGCGTGGGGAGGTATTGACCAGGGAGGGAGGCGAGGAGAGGGAGGTGGTGGAGTATTTGGTTATAGAGAAGAAGTATAATAAGGGCGTCGAGAGCACTTGGAGTGTTTGGGGGACAACGGAGGAGACAACCGGTTTGTTCCATCTTGCCCTCTTGCATTTCTTTTTTCCCTGGGAGAGTACTGACGGTCTGGTCCAGTGGAAAAGTTGAATCATATGGATGAGCAAAAGAGGTTGTTTGGTTTGATGTAGAAATTTGAGACGGCGTAGAGAGGGAGGGAGAGTGTGAATGTGTATATTAGTGCTTTTGTATATATCTGCGTTAAACGGCGTACAGCACGGACAATCACTCGCAAGTCCGTAAATCTTTGTCCAGTAGGACAGTTGCTCTCTAGTATTGTACAACACTACACACGCCCAATACCAAGACAATAATTACCACCATCGCCCACCCTCACCATCCCCAACCAACGACAAATTAGAAAACTTCCAACCTCCTCTCAGTCAGTCAATCAATCAATCGTCAAGGCAACCCGTAATAATAATACTATTATACAATGCACTATAACAACCAAACCCAATGCGACACAAAAAAACAAACAGACAAACCATCTAGCTTAACCCCAAGTACCACCTCCACCACCCCTTCCTTGCCTCTTCTGCGCCGACAACCTCCAACTATCGTCGCCGTCACCGAACCTGTTAAACAGTGGCTGGATCCTCTCGTTCCTCCTCCGCTTGCTGAGTTCGCCTTTGCCGCCGCCGACTTTGAAGAAGCTGGGGGCGCACTCGACTGCCAGGGGTTAGCACATCATCGTCATCATAATACAGAGGGGAGAAGGGGGGGGGCATACCAAGCCACTTCGGCTCAATAGCAGTAGTACAATGCATATACTCCTTCGTCGTCATGATCAGCGTATGGAAGATGACGTGTTCGGCCGGTTTGCCAAAAAGCGCGCTGGAGGGGTGCATATACACCGGTGTGCCCTCGATTAGTGTTTTGTATCCCTCCTGTGGATCCTTCCTGGCAGAGTTCCTGAAGAAGCCGGAACACAGCGCCTGCCTAACCCTCATCGTGTCCCGACCGCACGAGACGATCTTATGATTGTACCGACTCATGATCATTTCCAGCTGCGCGCGCACGTCCTTCGCGCGCTTCATACTCCGCGCCTGGATAAAGTTGTCGAAGCACCAGGGGTTCGAAAAGGCCGAGTGTTTCCACGCGTTGTAGACGTTCAGGAGGGTCAAGTGGTCGCCGTGGGGGTCGTGGAATTTGGCCTTCTTCTGGTCGGCTTGGTTTTGCTTCTCCTTTGGGCGGTAGAAGACCGTTTGCACAGAGAGCATGGCTACGATGCTGAGGATCTCGTCGGAGCAACCAATGTCCACGCTTGCTATCAAGACCTTGGCCAACGCAGGCTCCATGGGAAAGTCTGCCATTTTGCGGCCGAGGCGGGTCAGCAAGCCTTCGTCGTCCAGTGCTGATAAGGCATAGAGCTCTTCGAGGGCTGTTAACATGGTGTTTGTGGGTGGTGGGTCCATGAAATCAAAGTGCAAGAGATCGTTGATTCCCATTGCTTTCAACATTAGAATTGTATGGCTCAAGTTTTGACGTTGAATTTCGGGGATAGAAGTTGGGAGCATTTCGGATTGGAAAGCGGCTTCGGTGTAGAGACGGTAACATTTTCCAGGCCCCGTCCGACCGGCACGACCAGCTCTTTGTTTTGCCTGGGCTTGTGAGATTGGGGTGACGACCAGAGAGTCCATTCCTAGCTTTGGGTCAAAGGCGTTCTGCTTGACGAAGCCGGGGTCGATGACATAGTATATCTGGTCGATGGTGATGGAGGTTTCAGCAATGTTTGTGGCGATAACTACTTTCCGGCATCCCAGGGGAGCTGGCTCGAAAATCTTGCTCTGCATCTCACTAGGGAGGGCAGAGTAGACGGGGAGAATAATCAGCTCCGGGACACTAGGTCCTAGAGCTTTCATACGTTCGTAGAGAATCTCGCAACTCGTGTCGATTTCCTCCTGACCCGTCAGGAAGAGCAGGATGTCCCCGGGTGGCTCGCTCAAGTGGATCTGCATAACAGTGATTAGGGCGGCATCAAGATAATCACTTTCCGGTTCCTTAGTATATAGAATCTCCACCGGATATGTCCGGCCAGGGATGGTAAAGATGGGACACTGGTTAAAGTAGCCCGAAAACTTTTCCGCGTCCAACGTAGCCGATGTGACAATCAACTTGAGATCCGCCCTTCTCTTGAGCGTCTTCTTCAAGAGACCGAAAAGAACATCCGTAGCAATAGTCCTCTCGTGCGCCTCGTCAAGGATGATGACTGAATATCGCCTAAGATCTGGATCGAGTAATACCTCGCGCTGAAGCATACCGTCCGTCATGTACTTTATCTTTGTCTCTGGACTGGTGCAATCTTCAAAACGAATCGTGTACCCAACCTCCTGACCAACTCTGCATCCCACCTCTTCGGCCACACGCTTCGCAACGGACATGGCAGCAACACGTCTGGGCTGGGTGCACCCAATCATCCCATCATTGGCGAATCCGGCCTCCGCCAGGAACTGTGTCATCTGAGTAGTCTTCCCGGAACCAGTATCACCGACCACAATCAACAGTTGGTTTTCCAGCACGGCCTTTATGAGCGAATTTCGTAATTTGAAAACTGGGAGCGATTCTCGTTGCTCCTTGATACTCTTGTTCGTGATCTTCCCAAACGACATGTTTTTGTTCATGGTAGCCCTCTTCCATTCCGGCAGGTCGCCTCCTTGGTTCAGACGTGAGTTCTTCAGATCTGATGCGAACTTGCGATCGTCGGGAGCTACCATTGGATCCTGCCATTGGGCGTTAAGGTCGACCTTTTGTGCTTCCTCTGCCGCAATATCTGCAGCCTGTTGCTGCCTTAGTTCTCTCCTCTCCTTGGCCAGCGCTGTACCTCCCATAGCTGCTCTGTTGAGTGATCCATCGGGAGCTTTGACAACACGAATAGGAGAAAGCTCTAAGCTCTGTCTCGTCTGTCCGGCCAAGAACGGCGGTTCCTCCCCACGAACTTCGATATCAACATCCTCCTCCTCTTCGAACTGCCCTTCTCCAGTCAAGGTTGCATGGTACTCTTCGTCTATATCCGGGTAATCGGCAGCCGAAATTGCCCCCGAAGCGATGAGCTGCTTAATTTCCCAGCGCTCGGGGGAGGACATTCGCTTTTTGACTTTGAATTTCGAATCGACTTCAAAATCAGGCAGGTTATCGGAATCTAGAATAGCATACTTCGATCCCGTACCATCCAGCCTCTCCATGTTGGCGCCCGAGGCGATGCGCTTAGCTGGGTCAAGGTCTCGTCCGGTGTTTTGGTCGACATCCTTCATTGACAATCCAATGCGAGTGCCTTGAATGCTAACAACCTTGACTTTCACAGATTGCCCTCTAGACAGCAGATCCGCCGGGTGGTTGACTCGATCCTGGCGGATTGCCGAAATATGCACAAGGCCATCCACTCTGCCTTTGACATTCTGGAGACTGACAAACACGCCGAAGTCCTTCATCCCAGAGACTTTGCCATTGTAAATCTTGTAAAGGACAGGGCGCTCGTCGAGCTCGGGCGCAGGCGGACTTCGGAAATCGTCATCGTCATCTTCGCCATATCTATGCTTGATCCTGCGTTCCCGATCCCGGCCAAAATCATCCCGTTCGCGGCCTCTCTTCCTATCCCCCCCTCTAGATCTCGACCTCGACCTAGATCTGTAATTCCGCGCAGACCTGCCGTGTAGGCTCGGCGAGCGGCTCCGTTTCCTAGGGCGCTCCCCCACACCCTTCTCTCTTCCCGGTTCCATTCTCTCCAAAAACGCCAACGCGTCACCATTCCCGCCCTCCTTCCTCTTACTCTTCGACTCCAAATTCTCTAGCATCGCCATCATATCGTCTATCGCATTTGGCTCCCTCTTCCTCCCGTCCTCCTCCTCCCCGTAATCCCCCTCCCACATGGGTGGCACCTCCTTATCCGGCAAAGCCAGCCCTTTGAAAACCCTAGTCTTAGTATCCAGGTCCATCCCCTTCTTTGCCCCTTCATTATCCTTATCGCCAGACCCCTTCGACCGCTTGTTCTTGTGCTTCGGGTGCATTGTGAGCACCAACCTATCGATGCTGGTGATGAGGGAGTCCGGGAAGTCGACGCCATGCGAGGCAATTATCTTCTTGAACTCTTCGGGGGAGCTAGCTTGCTGGTGCAGGTTTATGATGAATTCCGCGAGCGTCTTGTCGTCGATGCCCAAATGGTTTCCCAGCTCTGTGGTAATCTTGGAGACCAGGGAGAGGTACTCCAGGTTCTGGAGATCTTCAAGGGCTTCCATGGGGGGTTTTTCTTTTAGAGAGGGAGGGAAGTGTCGTGGTGAGAGGGAGAGAGAGTTGCCGGATGGAAGGCAACCCAGTATGATACCAGTAGAGCCAGGGTTTTTGAGGCTTGTCTATGCGGCTGGTGTGGCTGGCGCCCTTCACGTACTGTCACTCCCCGTCCAACGTCCTCGGCGATTACCGAACTGGGGGGTAACACAAGGCAGCGAGATACAATACGGGAGCCACGATAGAATCACCACACCTTTCGGCGCGCCACAGCTCCAGGAACTTGTCGCAAACCAGGCGAGAAATAAAAATTGCCACGTGACTATCTCAGGTGAAGCTCACAGATCTTGTGGGCCACTTTTTTTATTGTATATTTCAAATAATTTATTCGTAATCACTAGACTCCACCCTAAGGGTATATGCGCCTAAACAGCATTGCGTCCAAGTGGCAAGCCAACACCACCCCCATCCAAACAAATCAAAATAAAAAAAATTAAAAAAAATACACAACCAGTGGACATGATAAATCTATCATTGAGCGATTGCTACCGTTGAGCCGTTCGGCACCCCGGGGAGACGAAACTGACAGATCCTCCACCTGATCAGAACACGTTACACAACTGCCCGGGCGGTCCCAGAAAGTTGTCGGCACAGATTATAAATAGGAGCCTGGTTAAAAAGAACTCTGAAAAGGGGAATATTCAAGTTTATTTATTTTTTGGTTTACTGTATCCTCCCGTTAAATTGGCTATCTCCGGGTAGGGTTCTAATCACCACATGAGGAGGCCACATAACCCTCATGCGGAGATCAGAAGCCCATGGGGGGATAGTCAATGTGACAGGAGGATATGTAAACCACTCAATCAATCATTAAAGACAAAAATATTAGCGCCCCCCCATTGAATGCCACTCAGCAATAACAATACTTCAATTACGGTCAGTATACCCGCTACTCGGAGTAGAACTCTATGACTTACTGTCAATCGTTCTTCTCGCAATCCCCACCGGCTTCAGAGCACTACAATATTTTCTCCAGCACTATTACGAACTCTTGCCCTCATTGCACGTACCGCAGACTTCAGGAAAAGTGCTTGGGTAAACTGGTTCTCATGGGGAGGCTGGGTGAGCTCGCCCATAACATAGGTTCGAAAGGTATGATATAAAACCCGTTTTTGAAGGTACCAAGCCCTTTTCCGATATCCCTACGGTTGTGATCCGTGTCCCAAACCGTCTAGTCACCCGGCGGGGCCCCACGGGGGGGCTGCCAAGAGCCCCGAACGGGATGGGATGGCCACGTGCAGTCCATCCCGGGAGGTGAAAGTACGGTAGAGGACGGCTGTCTTTGGACAGGACAGCAGGCCCTATAGGGTAAAACAGGGTTAGCAAGGGGGATGGTAAGGAAGCCACCGGGGGCAGCAGGGGATCATCAGGGATGGCGGGGCACTACCATGGACGGCCAGAGACTACCATGGATGGCAGCGGACTACTGAGGACTGTCGAGGATTGGGGGGACTGAGGGAGACTATCGTTTCGTCCCTAGGATTTTAGGCAGGAGGACCGCAGCCTCCTGTTGACCATTCTGCCCCATCAGTCCCGGGCACAGCCCATCCTAGCACTGCTAAAGAGACGGATTAGGGTACTGGCTATAGTCCGTCCCATCCTACCCTACGAAGGGACGGACGGACTGGACAGTTGGAAGCACTGGTTGTGATATTTATCACCAACGACCAGACCCGCACCCCTAAAACTTGTGACCAGAGTCTAGTTTTGGAGGTTCCATTCTAGAGAGCACCCAGGTTCGGTTAGTGTGCGGCCCACTGCTCTGTTTCTATAAATATCCAGAATGAAAACCCACTTCCACATCTGTTCGCCTTATTTTTCATCAAGCCAGCCAATCTCATACCCGCAGACATACTGTCACTTTATTAGCCTTGTAAAGTGAAAGATGTGGGCATGTCTGACGTACCTTAAATGTGGTGTTCTGAAGAAAAAATCTTGCAGAACAAGAATCTTCGTGGTCAAATATGCTGTTGCCTAACCTTGCGCTATTGGCTCGAGGAGAAGAAGAATAAAAGAGAAGGGATTGTTGCTTAATCTCGTAGTGTCGTGTTAGGAAAAAAGAAAAAAGGAGGGGACCGAGAGATTTTCTTAGTTAAATACGGTGTTGCAGAGGTGCAGCTACCGGTACCCAGACGTTGGCCAAAATTTCCTATCATTAAGAAATGGAGTAATGTAACCAAGGGCCTGTTTGGCAGGAATGGAAGCAGGTCGACCGTTGCATTCAGCCATGATTTTTCCTGGGGAAATGGTTGTCTTGGCATCTTCAGAACGGAAGGTACTTGTACGACAACGCACCTTGTGCACATCATCAAGTTGATCCAGTGTATCGCCTCGCAGGAACAGCCTCCCTGCGGCCCTTAACGTTCTTCAAGTAAGTAATAACATGATAAAGCGTTATGCGGTCTCTTATCTACCGGAGAATTTGTCCTTAAGGGGATACCGGTATATCATACCATGGCTCTGCAACAGCGGGCATGCACGATCCGGTGAAAGTGGCGGGGGGATGGCCATTTTAGTTTGTTTCGCTCGAGAGGAATTGAAAGAGGAAGGATCTTTGAACGCCCTAAGGCTTCAACCCTTTTTTTTTTTTTTTACCTCCCCCACACTCCACCCGATCGTGAGATATCAACTCAGAAATCTACCACAGGGCCAGCGTTCAAGTGGGAGAGCAGGCCAAAGGGTGCAGAAAGTTCCTTTCTTTCTTTTGGGGTGAAGCCTACAAACGCATGTAGTCCCTGGAGAAGAAATTGGAGTATTTTCTGCTCCAATTGGGACAAGTTCAATGATTTGTGGTGGTGGTGGTCAATGATACACGAGACGGGCAGGGGGGGCCTTTTTTTTGACTATTGGCGTGTTGAATGAATGAATGCTTCGCAGCTTCGGGATTGCGGTTGCTGTCCCATGAAAAATTTGGTAGAGTTGGGTTTCATTGATTAACTATGATACAATCTTATAATATGATATCAGCCTTACCGATATCAAACCCAACAGGCGCTCGTATGAGACCACATTCACGTCCTATTCAGGCGACAGAGAAAAGCATCCGTAAACCCGTTATTACAGTATCATGGGTAAAGAAAAAAAGAAAAAAAAAAGAGTCCCACTCTATCATGCTCATGACTGCCAACCTCCTGACCCCTTCCTCCCCTTCCCCTTCCCCTTCCCCTTCCCCTTCCCCTTCCTCCTCCTACTCCCACCACTCCCACCATCGTGCACCTCCCCACCCGTTGCGCCCATCCCCGCCTGGGCCAAGATCTCCTCCGGCGTCAACTCCTCCGCCTCAACGATGCCATCATCCATGCCAAAGTACTTGTGCGCCTCGACAATCACCTCCTTTACGACGTTGCCCCTCTTGCGGTCACGCCACTCGGTCAACATCTCGACGCCGCGCGTCACCTCGTCCTGGAGCATGTGGCCGCCGGTGCGCACCCACTGCCCCCAGAAGGCCTTGACGGCCGCGGCCTCGCGGTCCAGGTCGCGGTGGGCCGAGCGGAGCAACTGGAGCATGAGCTCCACCAGGTCGCGCGTCATGCCCTCCCTGATGTGGAAGGTTGTGTGGTCGCTGATGAGGGGGCCCAGGCCCCGGATGCGGGGGTTATCGGGGGTCAGACAGTCCCGCATGTAGTGGTACCGCTCGATCAGGATGATGATTGTGTAGGTTAGATCGGAGATTGCGAGCTCTGCCCCCGTTTTCAGGGCTTCGGTTGGGTGGACGTGAGGCATGTGGGGTCTGCGGCTTTTTTTGAGAGAGAGTAGGGGGAAGGGGAGTGTTAGCTTGCTCGGACGTTGTGGGTGGGTTTATAGGTAGGTTTATGGGGGGGGGGGGTACGTGGTATCATACCGTGGCCGACAACAGGAGATAAGGATGAGGGCTAAAATTAGGGTGAATATCGGTATTAATAGCATGTTGAGTGGGCTAATTTTTGTGGGCGTAGAAGGGATGAGATTGACATTTGGTAAGTGGTCGAGGGAGGGTTCTTGTACTTATAGAATCCGAGATTAGATACCCGTACTAGATGGGTTACGGGGCTAGGGATACGGTGACGGCACGCGGCCCCCGGGTAACGCACGCAATTTAAGGTTATCGCACCCGTGGACGTTTAAGACCACGCCCCCGGCTTTCCGGGATAACTTTAATCCGACCGTATCTAGTAATCAGTTGGGATGAGATGAAGTTGGCACGATTGAGGTTCATGAAATGTACGATACGAAAGATCAAATAAACTTTACATAAATTAACCAAGATTGCAGCTACTACAGGTATTGACAATCCATCTAGCTCGCGACCTTCCTCCTCTCCACATCCTCCAGACTCTCGCCGGGGGTCTCATCTCCATCATCATCCTCCCTGGGCAACGGCTTATCGAGACAGTCAAACCTGCCCCCCCAAATTCTACACCGCACCCAAACACCACCCATACGGCACGCGACAGCCAGCGCCAAGAATATCAATGAACCCACAGGCGCAGCGACGAACACCCCGAACACGCTCCAGTCATTCGCGTACAATCCCGACGTCAAGATGATCAAGTCAGCAGCCTTCTTTGCATCGCCATAGTACGCGCATCCAAATAGGAACACCGAAAAGAGACCGCCTATGCCTGCGAGGATAATGTCTACACCCCGAAGGAAGTACATCGTATCCCAGAGGCCGAGGAGGATTGAAGGCATAGCAGCGCAAGAGAAGATGTTTGAAATTAGGAAGATACGGAGGATAGAAGGGGACTTGAGAGCGACAACGATTGCCGGGATAGAGACGAGGAGGACAATGATGCGGACCCAGAGAAGAGACAGCTTGTTCTTGAACAGGTCATTGGAGATTGTAGACACCATTGCAGATTGCTGACTGTCGAAGATTGCGCAGCTGAGCGCTACCACCATTACAATGGTGAATCCAACGACCCAGGAGGGGAGCTCCGCGAGCAGCAGGAAGAATGCAAGACCGCCATACATTCCCGGTTCCCAGACACCTGCCCATGCAGCGATGAAGCCCGTGGAACTGACGAGGAGTAGGACGATGAAAATTACAACCGCGGCGATGGATACTCCGATCCACAAGTCTTTGTCAGTCTTTGATGCGAAAGCGCGCATCCAAAAGCTGGACAGGAACATGAAGCTGAAGAGGATCCCGCTAAACAAGATATAAATTAATTGGTAACCGAGTAGAGTGTCCTGAGTTAGCCCCGACGGCCCGATCTTGGAGCGGTCAATTTCTACCGATGTGCCGATCGCAATACTGCAGATGGTGATTAGAATCGCAATCAGTACTCCTTGGATGTTGTCGGTCAGGAAGGAGATGCGGAAACCACCAAGGGCTGGAACGGGTCAGAATAGTCTCGTGTTGGGGCACATGTTGGACGTACAGGTATATATCGAGGTGACAACGACTTCCACAACAACCACCGGAAGGCCGTCGAGACCGGTAAGAGCGCTGATGACCTGTTGGAGAGAAGACAATTCCGCAACCATGTACAGGAACATGGTAGCAACACTGCACACCCGTCAGCTATACAACCATTATCCCGAGGAATTCTAAATCGCTCACCTCAAAAAGCTCAAGTAAAGCGCCGCATACGGCCCGTACCTCTCCTTCACCCACATGGTAAGGATGAACCCCCCGGGCACCTTCTTCCTCACCATTGGCGCCAAGATGGCAAACGACATGAGCGGCAAAGCTGAGCAAGCAGCATAAGTAATGGCCCCCTGCACACCAGCGATAGTTCCAATCTCCGGATAGGAGAATAGGATGGCGGATCCCATTGCTGGAAATCATCAGTATCTTTGGGAGCGCCACTAAAGACCGGGAAAGGAATCGGTAGCGGCAACACATTCCCCACGCAAGTCTTAACTTGATCGAGTGCAAACGGTCAATCTCAGCCCATAAGGTCAGTTTTCCAAGTTTGCCCGATCTCCCGCTTGGGGGTTGGATCGGGCAAAGAGGTCCACAGCAAACAGGCACCCGTAGTGAAGCCAGCTACACTCTCCGCTCAAGCTTTCGAGAAGCACAATCAATCAAACACACCAATTCGTTCAAGGGGTAACCCAAAGCTTGAGGGAGAGTGCAACAACCCACAGATACTTACGAACCTGAACCACCCAAGTGGCCTATCGCACGGCGAAGGGCATTGAGATGTTTTCCAAGAAATCAAAGACACGGTACCAATGCTTGCCGCTGCCGTCTTTCCCCCCGAGAGACGCGCAGCACTCACCAGAGGCTATAAAATTGAGTGCCACGGGGATCGCTATAATCCATTAGCGTTCATTAGTCCGAGAGAGAAGGGAAAGGGAAAGGGAAAAGAGAGGGGAGAGAGAACAGACCGGTTTGAGTGCGGTTTGAGTGGATAAACTCCAATTTCGATTGGCCCCGGTATCTCCAGGCGAGAGAGAGACCGATTATGCTGGGTCGAACCATGTCAGTTCCACAACGATGTGGGAGTCCAGACGGGGGGAAACACACAGGAAGATTGCATAAGTAGTATATATGAGCCCATTAGAGGCCGATTGCGGTGGCATACCCATCTTGCACGCAATAATTGATGAAGAGTGAAAGCGGTTTCCCACAAAACGGTAAACAGTGAAAAAGCGGAAGGAAGAATGGGGAGAGAGCGGTTAGAGGGGGGGAGGAGGAAAGGGAAGAGGGAGAGGAAATATATACGATTTCCCGCGCTTTAACTGCGGGCACTCCTTCCTTTCCGGTTTAGTCCAAACAAGGCGGTGGATTTGGGATACCCGCAGATGTGATTGCTTCAGTTATCGTGTCGCGCTGTATCCCCAAGCCACGGTGATAGGAAGGCCTGACCGCAACCATGGAGTGAGAGGCTGGCATTAGCGTACCCTACTCGACTAGCCTTTACGAGTTGGGAAACTTTGAAGTGAACCATTTTTCCTCCCGTGTTGGCACAGTATGAACGGTGTCCACGCTTGGCTGTTTCTACAAAATGATAGCCAGAAGGGAGCGCCGGTAGCTCGGCCGAGACAGATTGGTACAAGCATGATGGAAAGGATTGTGTACTAGTACTGTACGAGTATCGGGAGCAGGCAGGAGTACTCGAGTAATGTCCCCCCACTACGAGTATCGAGTTATCGCACTGTAACACAACGCCCCCCATCATCCCTGCAGACGCGCCGGGAAAGAATGCCGGCATAGCAATATACCCGTATTATATAGCCTGGGCAGAACCTGCACCCCCTGCAACGCCCAGAAACGTAACAACCAGAACTACCCTAAACTTCCACTGAGCCAATGCCGCGTGCTCGAGCACAACTCGGCGCACACAGCGAGATCTGGAGTGCGATACCCTGAAATCTCCCGAAATGTTACTACCGGCATCAGATAATCTGCGGAAATCAGCCCGTCATCCCACAATGCTACCGGTACTCGAGTACAGTACTGTATTGTAGCAGCTTGAGCAATCGAACCTCACGTCGAGACGTCCAGAATTCCCTCTCTTGGATAGGGGGCCGAAAGCACAGCTCCCTACTGTAAGCCCCGGGTCGAGACAGAATGGGGGAGTAAAAAAACACCGCACCATACCAACAAGGGCAACTTGCGGGCAAGGTACTTGTGCGGTGGGATACGGTATGGGAAAAATACCTCAGGTTTTACTCCATCCAGTTAGTGGGTAAAGCCACCATGACAGTTGCCCCATCGGACACTTTACAGCACGGCACGGTGTTCAGACTGGTGCGGACGCTCTCTGGCTAAAGGGTGGCCTTCATTCTACTCGTAAAGGGAAAAAAAGACAAAACGAAAACAATACTAGAGTACTGCCACAGAGCATTAGCCAAAAGAAAAGAGACAAGACATATGTGTGAAAAAACATGGAGTGGCTACTCGTAATGGGGTGGCGTTTGTGAAGGCGAGTTTAGCGACACGCAATAGCGGTCGTGTTCACAAAGGTCAACCTACCACGAGTAGCGTGGGTGCCAAAGGATGGACAAACCATATAAGTCACGAGTCAATTGCCATCGTCAGAGCCTCCATCCCTTTTCGGTTCAAAGTCGAGCTGTCCAACAGTCAGCCCAAGGGTCGCAAGAGCCACTCCCCCCACATACGGAGGAAATAAAGATGACGCACCTGATTCCCATTGTAGTACTTTCTATCCGCCTCCTCCCCATCGGGCCCCCTCTGGTCGTACAGTGTCCTGATCCTCGTCGTGCTCGGCACCTCCTCCCTCGATGGCGCTTGCCCCGAAGATGACGAGGCCGACGCATCGGACAGGGACGACAAGGACGCGGTCGGCAAACTCTGACTCTTTCCCAATTCAGCATTCACAGGAATAGGAGCGGGCGGGTGATACCCGACCCCAAGGATGGTAGTTACAATGGACCAGAACATTCCGTAAATCCTCGAGAATATCCCCCCGCCCTCTGTGGACCCTCCACCCCCGCTGTAAGCCGACGCCGCCGACGAGGATGCGGGGACGAGCACAAGCGTGCATGTTGGTGAGAGGCCCAATTCGCTCAGCATTGAGTTCTCTTCCGAGATGGTGATCGGCTTGTTTGGCAGCGGCGCGAGGATTTGGAGAAAGCTGTAGGGGTGGTCGCCGTCTGTGCGGTGCTCGTCGAGAAACTCGCGAACGTCGGTTGCTAGCACTGCGGACGAGGGGAATTTCGCCTTTAAGCTGAGCCCGTCAAGCATGCGGAATGATATTGCTGTTTCGCTGGGGGAATGTGATTTTGGTGTCCCCCGTTCTCCGGCTCCAGGAATTGGGGTTGGGGAAGCATTGACCTCTGCCACACTCTTCCCCCGTCGCGCTTCTCGTTCCTTCTTGTCGTTCTCCAGTAATTGCAATATCCGCTTCCTCTCTTCGCTAGCCTCCTGATTCCTCTTCCTCTGCTGGCGTAGAAACGAGGAATTATCCGCTCTCCCTGGCGCTTCCGACGGAGCTGCCGGCACTCTCGGAGGCGAAACGGGTGTAGTACGGGTCGGGGCCGGTTCAGGAGAAGCTGTAGGTTGGACTGCTGCTGCTTGTGGTGCGCCCTGCGGCTCCACAAACGCCCCCCTCAGCAGCCTCACGAACTCCTCCCTCGAGACACCCGCCTTTATGTTCGCGACTAGAGCCCCATGCCTTCACCCGGTGGTCCATCAGCAACCAGCCACTACTAAGCGCAAGAATATATCATACTTGATAACAGCAAAATACGGAACATCTTGTATCGGACAAAACGCTGCCAAGAATCCCGCCTCGACCGAACCAGCTTGCAGTTTTAGGAGCACGCATTGTGCTAATAATGGCACCGCCTGTGCATGGGCAAAGTTGGAATCAGCAACTATGACAGTAGAACAAAGAGCAGGCATGGTGAAGGGACAAAACCTCCTCGTCCGCGAAATATGTATTCTCCCAAGTCGCGCTTTCATCGGCGCCATCTACGCCTTGTAGTTAGCATGGGACAATTCACGATAAATGCGTCCGTCAGTCAGGGGGGGGGGGAATATGGGGATAGCAAAACCTAGCTTACCAGTGACAAAGCAAGCCAGAGAACGGTTCTGCTCTATCGCGAGCGCGACGGCTTCTTGAAGGGTGCCCGGGAAGAACATGTCCATCTTGGAGAAGAAGAAATGAAGGAATGAAAGCGAGTGTATGTATGTATGTATGTAGAAGCGTTGTTAAGGGAAGGCACCAACCTAAGTTAAGCCTGACGTATGATATTACCTGCGCACAAGCATCAGCCTCTGCACGTTAATAGTACTCGTGCCAAGGTTGCAGTTAGGGCACTGCAACCCCCAAAGATTCGCTGGCTCAGTTTTTGGCGGCACTCATCCTGAGTGCCCGACAGCTCAACATCACTTTGCAGCTCAACATTACTTTTGTGGCTTTGCATCATTTTTGTGGCTTAACACCACTTCTGTGGCTCAATCTCACCTGTAATTCTATGTGTTCTATACTTGTAATTTTAAGTATTGTATTTTAATAGTTTAGTATAATGTATCTATAATAAATATAAGATTACTTTCTACATGTTTACAGAAACTCTCTATCTACAAGACCACAATTTTTCCACTATATACAAATTCCAAACTTCACAATATGCCACCTGCACCCTCTTTTACCTTACCCAGAAAAGAAAAGAAGAGATGGAGGTTAAAAAGGCAGAACAACAACTGCTACAAGCTTAAAATGCTCAAAAACGAGTTGAAAAGGCAGAGTGAAAACTACTACTAGATGAAATAAAGGCATGTGTCAAACAAAGACACCTTATGCAAGGATATAAAATTTTTTTATCCAAAATGATAATTGCAGGTATTAAGAAGCAAGTAAGATTGAAAAAAATTCCTGTATACTAAATTTTCAATTAT